TTGGCCCCAGGTTTAAGGATCCAACCGTGGCGGTCGCCCTCCATGCCGAGCTGGGGCAGCCGCCCTGCCAGGCGCTGCAGGAGGGCACAGCACCGCTCCCGCTGCGCCTTGCTCAGCACCAGCCCGGCCCCCTCGCTGCAGGGGGACATGGGAGGCTCAGTGCCAGCCCCACCGCAGCGGCCCCCCATCCCGCTTTGGCACTCACTGCACCACACAGTAGTACTCCCGCAGGAAGCGGTTCCAGTCAGTGCCCATCATGTGGGGGGACCGGGGATCCCCATCGATGTCCTGGTGCCCCAGGCTGCCCAGGTGCTGCTTGCAGACCTGCAGGGCTTCCTCCACCAGCTGGGGCGGCAGGGGGGGACCTGGTCCCGCTGTGGGTGGCATGGTGTGAGGGACATCTGGGGATCCGCTGTGCCACCCTCAGGGCTGTGGCACAGAGCCTGCCGACGGGATGGGTGGCTTTGGGTGCGCAGGGATGGGCTGGGGGCAGGGGGGGGACAGAGCACCCATAAGGTAGGCTGGCAGGTTGGGGGTGTCTCAAGCCACAGGCCCCAGCAGAGACTCAGCACCCAGGCACATCTGACCCCAAACTCTGTGTCCCAGCTCCACATGCTCACCTGGCCCCTTGCTGGATTTTGGGGGCTGCTCTGTCCCCACTGGCACATCCCCAGCCTTCTCCAGGGCCACTTTGAGCAGGCTGCGAGCTGCCGTCAGGCGGAAATCCTCTGCAAAGGGGACATTGTCCCCACCTGGTCCTGCACGGGACGCAGGGGGACTAGAAGCAGAGGGGGGACAGGAGGGCAATGGCCCTGGTGGGTCACGCCAGCCCCAAGCTCACCGATGAAGGCTTGCCGCTCATCCACAGCCCCCAGGCGGTAGCACCGGGGGAAAAAGGTGTCTGGGTCAGCTTGGTCGAACCAGGGCAGGTTTCGCAGGTTGAGGCACAGGCCCTCCTGTTTAGGGGATGGTGGCAGCCCCCCCTGGCCCCCCCATCTCCCTCCCCATTGTGTCCCACCCCCTGGGGGCTCCAGGCTCCCACCTTGGTGGTGAAGGCGCCCACCTGGGCGTAGTGGTTCACCACCTGGTCCTGCCGCAGCAGCCGGCAGTCGACAGCGCCGCAGCGGTTGGTCCAGATGAAGTACGGCACCTGGTCCCGCACCAGGTGGGACTGCGGGGGGGCCAGGGTGAGGCACTGACGCCCCCACCCTCGCCCTGGCCCCAGGCTGCATCCTGCACCTGGGAGTCCCAGGGGCCATGGCAGAGCTCAGCCCTAGCCTTCTCAGCTAACCATGAGGTCGTGGATGCCATCGAGGTCTTCATCCCACTGCTCCTCCTCCTCATCGTGTGGGCATGGAGAGCACGGGGACTCTGGGGTGCCCAGGGAAGGCCATGCCCCACAGCACGCCGACCCCAGCTGCAGGTCCAGCACTGCCTCCCCCTGCTCAGCAGCTTCAGCATCACCTCCCTCCTCCTCCTCTTCCTCCTGCAGCTGTGTCTCCTGGCTGCCATGATGCTGCCCCAGCTGGCTGCCCACCCTGCCCATGCCAGGGAGCTTCCTCTCCACCCAGCCCCGGGCCCGCAGCAGGCTGCGGATGACAGGGTAGGGGCCCTGCACTGTGAAGATCTTCTTCTCCTGGGGAGGGACCCCAGAGCTCAGCCTGCACCACCCCTGGTCCCTCCGGCTCAGCTCTCACTCGAGCCGTAAATGCAATAAAGGCCATAAATGCAGGTTTGGGGGTGTGAAATCAGGCCCCTCACCTTGATAGCCCTCTCCACGTGCAGCCTGGCCCTCTTCAGCCGCTCGGGGTCAAGCGAGTGGTGGCGGCACCTACGGTGGCCGGCGGTGGTGGATGCTGCCTGGCCTGCGAGGACAGCCCAGGCTGACCCCGCTGGCCCCACATCCCTA